TTTCTGTTGTTGCGCATCGTCTGAAGGTCCTGGCTCTCTCCCTAGAACACCTAGTTGTGCCTCTCTCCAAGACGAAATTTGTAGAATCACTATCGAGTCCAGGACTTTTCGACAATCTTTTGGCAATGGTTTCCACCAAGACAGACACCAAATTCATCTGGAGCAGCGAGCTGTCCATCTTAAAATGATTTGCCAGTTACCTCAACCAGGAGCAGTGTTCACTGTCTCGGCGTTTTTGGGCAGCTGGGGGCATTTAAGCTGGCCAACTGTCCAGCAATGGTGCTGCAGCGTTAAACAGATGAAGAAAAGGCACTTGACAGGCGCTTTGGCTTTCCGGAGCACCTTGTGGCATGGGAATACTGTCCAGACACGGAAGAATGCCCTATCAGATAGCTGAGCTGACTGAAGGTCTGGACATAACTGTTTCCTTTTCTAAAAGAATGGTGGATAGTCGAAATGATTCATGTGGATTGCATAAAATAAGTGTCTAGTAGGTTGTTCAATGAATTAACAGTTTAAAATGCTGAAACTCAAACAATGCAACAAAATGAAACATGTATGTATGATATCATTGTTCTCGAAGTTTAGACAAGATTAAAAAAAAGAGCATACAAATACCTTCTCTAGCTTTGGGAACTGTGTGCGCATCAACTGTAGAGCTATCAAAGTATCACTGAATATAAGGTTGTCCTCTGCATCATCAAAACTGCTAGATGTTATAACAATTTCACAGCTTACAATAATAATTGTCATTGAGTACGATGTTTTTCACATACAATTTGTAGCATCTTCTTAACAGAATATAATGTCTTTGTTGTTGACTGTCTAATGCAACAAGTGATCTAAATTAGGGAGCAAATTATGTTCAAGGTTACTAAACTTATTCTGAGGGTGTGTCAGCTAGGTACCCGCTCTCCTGACTCGCAAATTTGGGTCACCAAAACCGTAAAATCTCCAGTGCCCAAGCTAGAATGACCATCCAGGTTCTCTAATCATGTTCCCAATTTTGCAGCAAGCCACAGGACGCCTATAGTCCATTGTTAATTTTTCTCTGTGCCTAATCTTGTTCCAGCCCCACCCCTATAAATCTCTCATAAAAACAGCCACGACTATGGACAATCGATCCCACCAGTGAAACCATTGGAGATACCAACAGTGGTAATGCAACTCTGTTTCCAGCTACATCAACTACGGGAATCCATTCTCTGGTACCTGCAGTGTCTTAGAAGGAATGGAAACAAACGAGAGAGCGTGTCTGTAGCAGATGGTGACCTGACATATAGCATTTTGTTCTCAGAAATCTCTGCAAAAAATGAAGCCTCTCTTGACTTGTTGCACCTGTCCAATTGCTGCCACAAAAGCAATTTTCTAGGGAGTATATAACTAAAGAGTTCTAAGAAGTAGAATTGAGCAGAGTTTGGTAGGCAACTGCAGGAGAGGTGATGGTTGCTTGCTGCTGCCTGCTGTCCCGGAGAGGAGGAACTGCAGGAGAGGAGGGGGAGGCGGATCTGCTGGAGAGGA